GTATATTGTGTATTATTATGTGATGGTAGTATTGATGGTATCATTAGTGTATTATTGTTACTATAAATAGAACCATTAGTAAGTAGCCAGGATACTGATACTCCAGTAGGTACTGGTCCAGTGATACAATCAATTGAATAATACTGACCAAGGGATAGCTCTTCTGTTACTGATGGTAGTGTCTCATTAACTGGTTAGAAATCAAAATAAATATTAGTGATTTTTTTGTTACATTACCTGTTACACATAGATCTAAACTGACATTTTTGGTAGTTACATTAGAACCAATCCTAGCATTGCAATGATATACACCAGCATCAGATACTTGTACTGAATCAATAGTAAGTATTGAAGTAAAGAGATTGTCAAGCTCTAAGTCCCTTATTAATGAACTATTGTGTGTAATATTAGTCATATCATGATACCAAGTGACGTTGGGTTGTATACCAGGACCAACAGGAGTATTAAGAATTATGTAACAGTTAATCTTTACTGTTGAATTGATTAGGAATGATAACTGAGAAGACATCACAATTGAACTCACATATGTCCCTAAATATAATTTCAAATATAAAGAAGGATCATTCTTAATTTCTTAATCAATACTTTTAACAAAAACGATAATTGTCTTGTTGTCTGGTAAACAAGTCACTGGATTGATATCCACTTCTACAGTACAAGTATATTCAGTGTTATTAATTGATGGTACCACATTAGGTAGTATTAATGTATTATTGCTACTGACAATAGTACCATCTGAATCAGTCCATTTTATGGATCTCATGGTAATTCCATTAAGTGATGAGAGATTCACGCACTGTATTGTTGCACTATATCCCAGTGATAGATCTGTGAAGTTACCATTATTTTGAATAAAAGGAACAAGATCTACAAAACAATAAACTAATGGTAGAGTTATTGCATGAATATGCACCTTTTACACACAAGGGTTTTAAATCAGACACTATTATATTAGATCCATTAATTGATGCATTACAAGTATATGCTCCAGCATCAGTTGGTGAAACCTGTGTTAATGTCACGATACTATGAAATGTTGATAATGAACCATTAATACTGATATTATTTGTTATTATATGATCATTTTTAAACCAGTTCACTACGAGTGAAGAAACATCAGGACCAATAGCATTAGTGAGACTAATAGTACACACTATTGATACATTGTCACCAATAACATACGATGATAATGATTGGACAGTAACAGATGAGACACTGGTATCTGTAATAAACATTAATAACTAATGTAGGTTCTAAGATCAACTAACCTAATACACTAATAGTAATAGACTTGGTCAGATTGATAGCCAGTAAATCTGATGATACTACACAAGTGAATGTGTTGTTATTATGAGAGAGCATCACGGGATCAATGATCAGTTCATTGCTATTGAATGATGATGAATGCCATTTTATTACACTGTTAGAGATGGAGGGCATTGTAGTACAGATAATACTGACACTACTACCAACAGTGAGGTCAGTGTATTGACCAGTAACAATGATATCAGGTACTAAAAGGAGTAGTTGAACTTAAATTGAGTATAATTTTATTTTACTTTGAAATATTAGAGAAATGCTTCCTGAACCACAAGTATAGTTTCCAGTATCAGTGCTCCTCACTTCTTGTATAGTCAGTGTACCACTAGTAGCATTGATATTGTAATGAGTATCATCATTACTAATATCAGTTCCATTCAGTTCCCACTGTACTGTATCATTTAGTGTGCAATGTAAGATTACACAATCACCAGGAAACACTGTTGTCAGATTATTGTAGCTTCGTTTCAGAGGTATAGTTGTATTAAAGCAAACTATGAGATGATATAATATTTATCATAGAAATGCTACAAAACAAATTCATCATACCTTCCGCACAATTTGAAAGTGTAGCTGCAATTAATACAATTATCAACAAAGAAGAGAAACGATACTCCATCTTGACTAAAAGCAGGGCCGTAGCCAGGAACTTAAAACAGGGGGTTCGGAAATTGCTGCGCGCGAAGCGCGCAGCAAAAATTTTGCCGAAAAATGGGCGTGGTTGGTAGGCGTGGTCTTAATTTACTCATCTCGGCCATGTGCTGACTCAGCTAAAATGGCCATCTGTGCTTCTCGCTGTTGCCAAAATGCTAATCCTGCTTTTGCAGTGCTGTTCTTCATGACAGGAGCTAATCTAAAACTTTTTTGCAGCTATAACAGGGGGTTCGTCCGAACCCCCCGAACCCCCCCTGGCTACGGGCCTGAAAAGTTGGCAATAGTACAGCAGGCTATGCCAAGCCACACACCACTATACTGTAGTAATTCTGATTGGTCATCATTTACTCATATAGTGGGTTTGTGGCAATGTGAAGTTTTAGTTACAAGTAGACTAATGTGAATTAAGCAGTACTAACATAACTTTATACCAGTATGCACAACTAGAATAGTTTAGATAGTAATTATTCTACCTTGGGTCCTTTTAAAACTTAAAATTAATCACAAAAGAATTCTAACAATTAATTATTCTTCATATTAGTCTAGTAACTTTGATTCCATGTATGCAGCTGTATTAAAATTTTTGTTTTGACTAACAAGCAGCAAACATAACAACATTAACAGACTAGTCTAGTATTAATAGTAAGTAGCTATTTTAGTTAATGCATGTTTATTATTTTTATGCTTATTTAGCTTCATCGCATAGTTTTGTCAACAGTCTCTTTAGTAATTGCAGTGACAGGAACTTCATAATCAGCAGTAGAAACAGGATCAGTTGATTCAATTTTAACGTTATCATTAACTGCTTGTGGTTTCACTTCCTTCAATGTTATATCAGGATCATCATATACAGCAGTTTTTGATCTAGTATCACTGACGTAGTTAAATTTTTTCCTATATCAACAAAGTAATATAAAATTATTCAAACTCACAACTTGGCAACACTAACTTCATAATGACTATCACTATTCCAACAGTTACAACAGCAAACAAGAATGTGAACAAAATCACTGCAACAACAATAATGATTACTGTACTACTTGCTAGTCCTAAGTAAATAGAAAATGTTAAACCATTAACACAATACAACAATAAACTACCATCATTG